GATCCTCTTTTCCATGAGTTAGCAGGCAGAGACAGTTTGTTCTCATTTTAGCCAAACGCCCAAAACACAGAAATGAAACTACATTTAGGAAGGAGACACTGCTTTATTCGATAGTGCACAGAATTGGACACTAGGGGAAAGTCCCCAAATCGAGTGCCAAGCTAAACAGAAAACTCAGCATATTTACGCACTAGAATTTGCATCTCTCAATTACATGCCACACACATCATTACGTGTCATACTCAACTCCACCTTTCTACGGTATTTGCATATTGCTAGTGTTGCAAAACTATACTGTGCATGCGCAGGGGTCTCTGGTGGTCATCGGTGGTTGTTTAGGTAAGTGCCCCCTACTCATTTTGAGACAAAGTTCACTTCAGGGAGCAGCTGGAGTTGTTATTCTTGCAGAAATGCTTTGTCAGCCTTCAGACATCCTTGGCTGCTCTGCTAGCTCAAGTCCTTGAAGCTGTTATCTCAAGACAAGAAGCATTCTGTGCATCCTCCACTGCAAGTCCTGCTGGTTGTTAGTTCGTTTTCTACACAAAGTTTCACTCTTGATTCCATGTATGGTATATAATGCTAAAAAGTACAAAAGAATTACTAGAAAATATTTACATAAGGCCATGTCCAAACACTGTCAGTATCAAGTTAACGAAATGTAAGACAGTCACTCCCCCGAGGAGGGAACTGCGTTATGAGAGAGGAGCTTGCAAAAGGGAAGGGGGAGTCCCTAATGAAGAGCTTTTGCTAGCCTGTGTGTAACATTTTCTCAGAGAAGTGTTTTTCCTCTTTCTTAAGGGGCTGCCACACGGCAAAGGGAGCAGAGGTGTTCGTGCACATGCCTACTGCTGTGCTCGGGATTTTCTTTCTCCAACAGCCCAACTTAGCTGGAGTGTGACGTGTCTGGACACGCTGCCCCTCACTCACCCACAGCACGGCAAGCTGGCAAGTGAGATTCTCAGAAAAAGCAGCTTGCCAAAGCCGCTGCGCGCTCCTCCCAGCCTCCTCCTGCTTCACTGATAAGAAATGGCTGGCTCTGCAGATGCAGCAGAGCCGCATGGGCTTGGGGCTGACGCAGGTCTGAACCAGAAGCGCCTCATTTCGGCACCTCGCACCTTCAATGCTCTGGAAACCCAGCTCTCCTCTGCTGCCGGCCCAGGACGTGGAAGACCAAGTGGAAACACCAGTGGTAAGAAAAGGTCAGGGAGAAGCTCAGGTTTTTGAACGCCACCTTCTCCACAACACGGCTGGGGGCGGGGGACGGGCTGAGGGAA